GAAGTGGAGAGGAGGGGGGAGAGGATCCACACAGAACTTGGACCAGGACCAGCTGAGCCCCTCCTTCCTCCATTCATATACATACACACACACACACACACACACACACACACATATATATATATATATATATATACACATACATACAACAGCATCCCACTGTAATCACTATACATGTACACACACATGCACACATACACACAGAAAGCCATCCATCCCACCATATCACCCCTCATTCACCCATACATGCAATCATACATAAATGTACACACGTATGTACAACCATCGACCTCCCCATATACAAAACGTCCATCCGCCCACACCATCCCTCTCTCCATACAAACATGCAGACAGACTTGCAACCATTCATCCATTCGTCCCTCCCCTCGCCAACTGCCCATCCCTCCGTCGGCTAATTCCTCCATCCACACAGCCCTCCACCCTGAACAAACAACCCTCCACCCATACGGCCCTCCATCCAACATCCATCTATGCGCTGAACAGACTCACACCCTGCCCTTCCACCTTCTTCTTTCCCCGTACACTGCCCCTTACCTCCACCTCCCAGCCTTACTTCTGGATCCACACCGCGCTCGCGCGCGCGCACACACACACACACACACACACACCCCTCCGTATTTACGGCACCCCCTCCCCCACCTCCCAGCCTGAAGTACCTTTGCTTGCTGCTGCCTCTCAGGGAGGCACCCTGCTCCCAGCAGGGGTCACAGATGTCACTGAGCATGTGCTTACTGTGTCTCCAACCAGACTTTAATCTGCACAAGAGCAGGGACCAAGTCTCTCTTCAGGACCCAAGCCAGGCCCCACCTGACCCACAGTAAGGCTGTATGGGAGCTATTGAGCGGTGGTTCCGAGTGAAGTTAGACAGAGCCCGCTGAGTGCAGAACATGAGCCTGATGTCCGGTAGGGATTTACTCATGAATTTATCAAAACAGAACCTCCCCGCCAAGCTTACGGTCTAATGAGAGATAAGAAAAGTCCATGGAGAGTTTGAATGTGGGCTAGGAGCCATGAAAGAGGCAGGGAGGGTGTGCGAAGGGAGGCTGAGGCAGGCCCGGGCCTAGTGCTTCACGTTGGACAAGCCACTCTGTCTCCATGAGCCTTCATCTCCTCACCGAGCAAATGGAGCTAATAAAAACAGGGAGCAGAAAGAAACGCTATTACCACAAAATTGCTCTAAATTGTTTAAATACATCTTCTGAGTTCTGTGAAAAGTTTCTTAAAGAGATAAAATTATTGTAAGAACTGAAATCAATGTGATTTATTGATGTAATTTTTATAGACAGAGCCAAGTAATAGAAATTAATAAACCACTAGAAACGAATCTTTATTAAAATTGAGCTTGTCATGTTATTGGGAGGATTAAATGAGATAATGCATGGAAAATGGACCCAGAAAGAAACTCGGCGTGGGTTAAGTACTCAACAAGTCTGTTTTTTAATTCTATTTTGATGGTTTGAGATAATCTTTATTGACGAGGTGATATTTAAACTAAGCCATGAAAAATGTATAGGATTCCCGTATCGTAATCCTGAAAGTATTAGATATCATTTTTAGCACTTTTATACACTCTTCTAGCTTCCATGTCGGGGTAACAAATTACCCCAGGATGCAATGGTGTACAGCAGTCATTAGTTATGCTCACAGACTCTGACTAGAATCTGGACAGGACACAGCAGGGACAGCTTGTCTCTGCTCTGTGATGACTGAGGTCTGAACTGAGACATAAAGGCTGCAGGCTGAAGTCACCTGAGGCCTCACCTGTTTGTCAGGTATCTGGTGCTGACAGCTGTCATGCTGGCTTCCGTTCCCCACCATGTGGCTTATTCCTGTGTCTGCTCAGGCTAGACTGAGCTTCCACTGTACCGTGGCTTGTTGCCAAGGACCACCAGGTAGAAGCTGCATCTCTTTTATGACCTCTCCATGAAAGTCACAGAGCATCACTTCCGGCATGTTCCATAGGGTGAAGAGTCACAAGCTCCCAAGACCCAAGGGGAGGCTACTTCAGCCACCCCTCCCGGGGGGGAAGAGAGTTTCAGACACATTGTAAGGAAAATGTTTGGAGAGGGGTTAAATATTGATGCATTTATCTTTAGAAATATACAGCCTTGCCCACACATGTTATCTCATGTGCTCCTCAGTTTAAGCCTTGAGGAAGGTACTCTAAGTTTTAAGTTTTAATTTTACAAAAGAGGAAGCTAAAGCTTGATAAAGTCAAAAGTTTTGCCCAGTGTCATAGCCAGTAAGTGTCAGAGCTAGGATTTGAATTCCAGTCTCAACGTTACCTAAGCCACTGCCATGAACAAACTGCCTACCAGATTTAGAACATGGATGTCAATAGTACTTTTTATCCTTTGAAACACTAAGTTGGCTGTGTCAGCCAGGATGCTATCGAACTATGGTATGTCGGTGACTTGTGGCCTACTCTAGTGGCATATCAAGCAAGTGCTCAGCAAAAATAGAGGCCCAGAGGTGGGAAGTACAGTGCATGTAATTCATGTTGGCAGGACATGGTGCGGGCATTAAGGCAAGTAAGGTTGGTTGAGATGCAACTAGGAGAAACCCTGAAATGAGGCAAGAGAATCTAGACTTTCCTGGGTCAATGAAGAGATGCTAAGGCCATGTGGTCAGAAAATTAATCAGGATCTGTGTATAGGAGGGAAGGGGATGTAGGAGACTATGCTAGGAGTCAGTGGCAGGAGTGGATAGGACTAACTTGTTGGCAGGCCTGTGGGATTCTGTGGTCTTGGTTCACAAAAGTGATAGCCCAAAGGAGGAGCTGAGGACTCCGTGAGGTCCAGGAAGGAAGACACCACCAGAGACTTTAAGGGTTTGAGCCCAGCTGGCTGGGTGGGGTGGTGGCAGTGGTCAAAGCAATGGATAGATCCAAGGGTGCAAGAAGGAGGACTGGGGGGAGGTGATGAGGGGCCCTCCTGGTAGGAACACCCAACAGACTGTTGGAAATTGCACCTTGGAGCTTAGGAAAGAGCTGGAGAGGAAACGTGAGAATCATGTGCAGGGGTTATGGTCAAGACCAAGGGAGCAGTGTGGCCACAAAGAGAATCAAGTCCAAGGCTTAAGGAATGAGAGCACAGGCCAGGAGTCTCCAACCATGGTAAACAGTGGAATCAGTAAGGCAAGGAATAGCAACCCAGGAGAAGTGTGTCCGTGGCCTGGGGAGGAGAAAAGGGGACACGTGGTGGGTGAGCCAAGCTTCAGGTGACTCTGATAGGAGCCATGTAGAAGAGCCCTGGGCGGTCTTCAGCCAAGACAGTGTTCTTGACCTTGACTGAAGCTTCTGAGTGATTTTAGAAACACCAATGCCTGGGTCCTGCCCACCCCAGGTGATTCTTCCTTTGGGAAAACTAAAGGCTGTGGAGGGGGCAATGAGGGAAAACCAGGTTGGAAAACTCAAAGGAGAAGAGAAGAAGAGGCCATGGTGTCAGAGAGTTGAGAAACAACAGCTGCCATGGTAGTAGGAGTCCAGGTGGCTTAGGATATGTGACCTGCTCAGTTAAAGAGAAGCCATGAGGAGGAGTCTAGGGCCTAGAAATTGTGGTTTGAACCCTTACTGCACATAGACCTGTGGCTCTGGGGAGTGGCAGCCAAGCATGCCAGGTTAGAGCAGTGGTGGCGAACCTGTGGCACACTCACCGCAGCAGGCTGTTTGTTGTCACTGAGAGCTCTAGCAGGTTCGCCATCACTAGATTAGAAGGTGGGGTGGAGGGCTGTTGCAAGGTGATGCCCACGTGGAATTCCATTCCCTATGCCCTGTACCAATGAAATCCGAAGTTTTGAGGATGGAACTCTCAGCAGCACTGTTTCACTCTTCAGGTGTTCCTAACCCAGAGCCTGTCTGGGATGCACAGTGCATCTCCCAGATGAACCTGGGCACCCTTCGAGGGCATTCTGCTAGATTGCTGGTTCTGACCTGGTGATCTGGGTGGGCTGAGACTGCATGTCTACCAGGTGCCCGTGCTGCAAGCTCACAGACCACACTTGGTGTTAACAAGGATGCACACTGATTTTTCAGGGGTGTGGTGGAATCTCAGCGCCCCTTCCCAAAACCCCCTGACCAGGCCACAACTGTGAGAATCAGTCCTTCCACCCCAGCCCCAGCCCAGCAAGCAGGTGGGGAGCCAAAGGCATTTCCTGTGTGTCTCCTCTGCTCTCTGCTTCCTTCCTGGCTGATGGAACATCAGAACCAGGGTAAATGCTCTCCCCTTCTCTGCCAAGGAGGTAGGCATGCTTTGAAAAGAGCAATATGGTGTTTATGTTGGCACACACATGCAGCTGCACACACGCACCCCCAGGCACCAGTGGGGAATCGTCTTGACAACACAAGCCTTCATGAGCACCCAAGACTCCAATTGCTCCAGCGTGCCACCCCGCTGTCTCCCCAAGGGCGCAGGAGCCTGACCCCAAGACCACCCTCACACCTAAGGCCCTGTGGGCAGAGGAGAAATGGCAGCCCAGCTCCAGAATTTGAGGTCCAAGTCCCTTCCTAGCTAACCTTGGACAAGTTAATTAACCAGAGCATTTTAGTGTCTTTTTTTTTTTTCGGATATAAAAGGTGTGAAATAATGATCAGTCTCTCATGGCTGTTGGACAAATCAATCGGTTCAAGGATATACAGATCCATGTGGATATAAATGGAAATAAAGGGGCCGGGGATTTAGCTCAGTAGTGCTGCCGCCTGCCTGGCAAGTGCAAGGACCCGAGTTCGAGCCCCAGTACCAAAAAAAAAAGGAAGAAAGAAAGGATATAAAACCCAAACTCAGGAAGCAGGGCATGTCACAGTGGTGGTTAAATGGGGAAGAGGGGTGGTATGAGATGCTCTGACCACGTGGTGTATTCTTCCCGTGCCGTCTTGTCTGCCCCCTGTCATCTTGCTGCTGCAGATGCTGTCCCCAGGGATCCCCAGCAGTCCATGAGGCTGGCTTCTGCCTCTGATCCCTGTTTACCTTCTCCCGCTGCAGACATGGGGAGCTTCGAGGAGGGTGAGAAGCACCAGAGCATTTCCCACGGAGAAGCTGCCGTCATCCGTGCTCCTCGCATTGCCAGCTTCCCCCGGCCGCAGGTGACCTGGTTCCGTGATGGCCGCAAGATCCCACCCAGCAGCCGCATGTGAGGCCCTGCCCTGAGGGACAGTGAGGGAGGGTTGGGGCCAGATCGAGTCCCCCAGATGCAGAAGAGTGACCTTCTGCCGAATCCCCTGTCTGGGACAGAAGTTTTGTTTACAAAGGACTTTCTTGTAACCTGCCTTCCAGGACTTGGGATTCCCTGGGAATCCCAGGGTGTTGCCTTCATGCTTAGCTGGAGAACAATTCTCCAAGAGGACTTAAAACACCCATACATGCGCGCGCGCACAGGCCCAGATTTAGGCCAACAGTGCGGGGGTGGTGGAGGACTGGGCATTTCCACTTTGGTCAAGTGGGTATGGTGGGTGTGCACTGGGGGGCAAGGGCTGTGTGTATTTTGGCTGTGAGGAATCGGTGTGGCTGGGGGAGGCCTGGGAGAAAGATAGGCAGTGCTTTCAGCATGCACAAAGACTCCTCTGTGTGCCTTGGCCTCAGCCCTGGCAGCCTCGCTTGTGGGCAGGAGTGGCAAAGCCAGCAGAAGACGAGGAGCACAGCATTCCACCGCCCTCAGCCTCCTGGTCCTGCCAAGGTCATAAGCCAGCCCTGGATTTTCCTCTCTGTGGCTCCAGCTCCCCCTGCTCCCAGAAGGACCTCCTTCTGATCTGCAGAGCTTCCTTTTAGAGTGGGCAGAGTGCCTGTTCCATAGGCACTTTTCTGAGGTCAGCTGGATGGCCTCCTGGTAGATGACAGATGACTCGCCTCTCCTATACATGTCTCACCCTCCTGCCAGCCTGCCCTCCTTACACATTCTCAGCAATTACAGAGGAGCAGGACAAGAAGCAGAAACATGAATTTCTAGCTTTTCCTAACATCCCATTGGCCAAAGCAGGGCATGGCAGGGCTCAGAATCAAGAGGTGCCCTGTATCTACTCCTTGTGCCATGTGATGGAGGGAGAGGGCCACAGGCACACGGCACAGGGGATGACACAGACGGAGTTGGGGGAAGGGCTGGAGCAGCCCCACAGGTTAAAAGTGAATTCACACTGTGAGAGTCAACACGGCCCCTTGAGCTAATGTTCAGTAAAGCCAGCAGAGTGGATGTTGACATGCTGTAGAAGAGTGCTGTACCACACAGGCCCTGGTTAAGTGAGTCCCAGCCCATCCTAACTCCCTTTCTGAGGTTGCCCGCACATGCCAGTGATGGCATCGTGCAAGCCCATCAGTCGGTAATAACTGCCTGGAAGGCTGTGTTGAAAAGGATTTGGAGACCCCATCTAGACTCGTGGGAAAGAACATCACAGTCGATTAGCAGTGTCTACCCTGGCTGCACAAGGGCATCTTGGCACCTCCTGTACTACATTTGCTATGGTAATGGATCCCTCACTCCAGTCTTACTCCTGTCCTCTTTTCACTCACATCTTCCCACCTCCTTTTCTCATCCTTGACCTCCTTCCTTACTCAACTCATCCAGGATAGAACCACCCTGGCCTGCACACACACACACACACACTCACACACACACACACACGCATGCACGCACGCACATTGTCTGGTCACCCATGTCTTCCCCTCACCTACTCTACCAAGCCCATGATAAAAGCCTGGGGCAGCTTGGCGATTACCAGAGATTAATGCTCATCACTGAGTATGAAGGAACCCTGGAGGCAGGTTCCCCAGAGACTGCAAGCCTGAGCTCCACATCTGATGAATGCTATTAGCCAGAGGGGCTGCAGGCCAACGAACGGGCTGCTATCTATAGAGGGCTGGGGCTATCAGGCAGGGCAGGGATTAGTGCCATCTCGCAAGCCCCAGAGCTCACTATTGAAAAAGGAACAAGATTCCTCACAAAGCTAAAGGCTTCAGACACATTCTAGAATGACTTATTTTAATCGAATGATGGTTTGGGTTCCCACTGAACAGAGAAAACGGGCATAGCAAAAGAGAAGCAGTTGGTGGAAGGTGGGCAGGTCTATCAGAGGAACTAGAAAGGGCCTAAATACCTGAAATCAGGTATAGCCAAAACAGACACC